AAGATGAGAGAGCCCAACATTTTTATTTCTACATGAAAGCAGTTAACTGTCTATTTGGTCCATTAACTGGAGAAGTGGTGTGTCAAGCAGAATTTAAAATATGGAACAAGAAAATAGAGCAGAAAATTCGTCAGGCATATGCAATTAACTATGAACACTCAACCCTTTCAAGAATGAAAAAGAATGGAGAAAAGAAGATGCTAAGTTTTGACTGGAAGTGTCACACTATTATCCAGAAATAAGTGTCCACTAAAATTCTGAACTTGATAATCTGGTTCTTTTACAGACGCAATTGACAACAATTCTCTAATCTCTATGTGCCTTAAATTTTACATGTAGTTTTCTGATGGAATGACCATTGTTAGATCAAAACAAGATGAAACTATCAACTTCAGAAGCTTTGCCTTTAAAATGCTAATTGAGGATCAATCATTCACAATGAACCAACATTATTTGAATGTAACAATAATTCATATAACCAAGCCTCAGATCAGACCCAAGGTTATTACAAAACAGCATCAGATCCTCACCTACTTAGATTTGATAGACAACACCCTCTCTGCTTCACAGATACAAGGGCATATTTTCTGTTTTTCTACTACTCTTAACTGCCTACATCCTAGTTCCTTCTGCCTTCACAGGACACGTAACTTGGATTAAACTAAATTTCGAGTGCTTCAAGTAGTTTTTTAACAAAAATTTCCCATCATACACAGTAACCAGTATCACTTCCACTGCCTTTTAATACATTTATTGCCTCCTCTCTGTCTCCTCTGTACTAACTAAAATCTCCAATTCAGATGAATTGACAAACAAAGACTGCATTAAGAAAATATTCTATTAATATTTCCATAGTTAAATATAAAATTCCTTACAGCATTTATTAGAAGTGGTCAGTGCAATTATTACTGCTACGTTAAATTATGCATATCATTTACTTTTCAAACTATAAGTAATCAAAAGTTCAAAACTTTTGGGATTCAATGTCTGATATCTGGATATGCTACTCTACTACAATATGAGGAACTAAATCAGTATTGAATTTGACTGAAAATGCATTGATTTTGGAAATGCTAACGATGCGGTTGCCCACTTACCCAATTTGGTGCCAACCAGAACCACAGGGACACCGGGGGCGTAATGTTGGAGTTCAGGGATCCACTGTCAGAAAATTGCAGAACATAAGCATAACACATCACAATTGTTCAAAGAACATAAAGATCCAGGATAAATTCACCTTTTTTAGTACATTTTCATAGCTTGCTCGACTAACTAGTGAGAAAGCTAAGACAAAGACGTCTGCCCCTCTGTAGCTCAGAGGCCTTAATCTATTGTAATCCTCTTGTCCTACAAAAAGTCATCAAAACTTCAAAACAATTTTAAGACAGTGTAGTTACCAAATTTGACAAGGAAAAAAAAAAAGAAAAGAAAAAACAACTGTCATTGGAAAAGCCAGTGCCAAGACTGACTGTAAAATGAAGCTCCTTTTAGTACAGTTTTCAAGAAGTAGAGGATAAAACTTGAAGTAGAATTGATACCAGCCGTATCCCAAAGACCTAAATTCACAGTAGTGCCTTCAACTACAACGTTTGCACTGAAGTTATCAAAAACTGTTGGTATGTAATCCTGACAACAAAGCACAACAGAGTCTCAGAATTCTAAGAAAAGTTAGCTAGTTTGAGAACCCAACAGGACAACTTTTCATGATCATAAACAAGTAAGCAAAAAAACATATCCTGGAACATAAAGTTGGAAACTTTGTAAGAAACAAGATGAAAAACCAGGACAAATTGAAAACTTTCGATGCAAAAAAACCTTAACAGACAACAAAAAAAAACACCAAAACTGAGATACCCAGAGAGATAATAAGGGAGAACAAAGAACATACAGTAGGAAACTTGTTACTTGTATAGCAAATGAGCATGCAAGTCTTGCCAACAGCTCCATCTCCCACTGTTACACACTTGATGAACCTTGAAGCACTTGAAGCCATTGAAACACAAAAAACAAAGCAAATACAGAAGAAAAAAACAAATGGGTAGTTTGGTTGGGGGGATAAATTTATGGCCTTTTGCTTTGTTTTTTTTTTTTTTTTTTTTTTAAAAAAAAATTTAAGATTTAGAGACAAAGAGAGAGTGAGAGAGAAGAGTGGTGGTGGATCACATGATTCTCACTCATTTCATTTCCCCTGTATCAATTTTATTACTACTTACTTTTCTTTTTGGGGTTAAATTCAAACAACTCCTGCCTCATTTAAATTGGAAAAACATTCTTTTATCTCTTGAAATTTAATTGAGAATACACTCATCTTCTTTATGTTGATTGCATGTTTACTAATAATTTATGTTGAAATGGAGGTCAAACTGTTCTAAAGTTTCTTAGGCTACATGTTTAGTAATTTTGAAGTATAACCTGTGTTTCATTTGTCTTGTCTATTGTTGAGGAAAGCAACCCTTACTAGATGCATGAACCTTAAAGTGTTTTTCTTTTATCTCTCCATTTTTTTTTTGCCTTCTGAAGACTTAAAAAGTAGTTTTAAGAAGAACATAAAATAGTCTTAAAGACTTTTCACCATAGTTCTTTTGTCAATTTCACCATAAACAATTGGTGACAGACAAATATAATAGGAAATTCACAATGCATAATTCTGAATTCTGATACTGTCATGTAATTAAATTATATGTCATACGAATAAAAATCATCAATTAATAATAAATTTGATGATAATTAATTTCTCAACATCTGATAATTTTAACTACAGCATTGAACATAGGATTGGGTCCACAACTAGAATCCCATTGAAGCTATACCTACTACATTAAATAGATTGATGGGCAGAGCTCTTGAGGCAATTAGGCTTTAGGACCACCAAAGGCATTATTATTATAGTTATTATTGTTATTATTATTGTTGCTGTTGTTGTTGTGTAAATTTGAGAGGAATGCATAAATAAAATATGAATGATTGATATAGAGGTTTAGGGACCATTGACAGAGGGGAGCCACCAATCAAACCATTCTCTTGTACACATCAGAGGCGTTGAACCTAAGCTGATTCTTTAATGTTATTCCCCTTGGAGTTGGACCAGGGTGGTATCGACCCTTTCGGTTCTTCATTTATTTCGATTTAATTGAGGAGCTTGCTATACATTCAGACCTATCAACTTGGTTTTGGTTCCAACCATTCACGCTGTTCCTTTTCTATTAAACTATATGAGCAAAAATGATAATTAATTTCAAGTACCATACCAGACAACATATTAGGTATACCCCCCTCATCAATCTAGACCAAACCAAATGTAGTACGTGCGAATGTGTTGTTGAAGGAAAGGAAGAAGAAGTAAACAACACAAGGGACAAAAGTAATTAAGCTCCTTTTGTTTGTTTGTGTAATTGCTCAATTATGTCTATTCAATTCATATACAACTTTGATTTTGTTGGTATATTTTTAAAATAATGTCTCTTAATATGAAAAATATTTTTTTATATGAAAAGTTATGATTATTCAAAAATCATATTAATCAAAAGGTTATGTCATATTATTAGATTGTAAATGGTTTTTCGTGCGGAAGGTTACGTTTCTTGACAAGGTAACATATTAGAAAAACTTTTCTAAATTGAAAAAATTATGTAATAATTGAAAAAGGTTACAATTCAAAAGTTTAGATATAAAAAGTTATTTTTATACATTATAGCTCAAAAGTTATATTTTATGAAATATCTTTATTTAAAGAAGTCTAAATTCATTATAATCTACTTGTTATGTCAAACAACATTGCAACTCTCATCGGATGTGTTTAACGGTCTACTTTCGTAAATTATAAGATGAAATTACACGTTATTTTCATTGTATTCTAAAATTATTCATATAATTACTTTTTGTATAACGAATGATGGGGGGGGGGGAATAGATAATGTTTACAAAGACACATCTTGAAGTAAATTTTGCCCGTTCAACTAAACCCTATTTGCACCAATAGGTTTAAGGATGCGTGAAAATAGATACAACGAGAGTTACTTGTTTTTAAAAAAGAAATAATGAAAAAGCAATATTGGAAAACAAAAAGTTAGAGAACAAAAAAATTGATAAAGAAGAGGTAATAAAATATGAGAAAAAAGAGGAAAAAAGTGTAGCTTGGGATGGGCATCCCACTAAATTTGCAAAAGTTGAGACCAAAAAGGCAGTTCTAAAGCCAACCAGAATTATTGCAGGCAATTCACAAAAAGGGGAGGATGGTGGAAGGCATAAGTAAAGATTAAGTAAACATAATAAAAGAAAGGGTTGCCCACAAAGGAGGAAAATATACAATTACCAGCAAGGAAGAGAAAAAAAAGGTTTAAACAACTGTTAAACATTCTCTAAGTCTTAACTGATCTTTGTTCAATACATTTGCTTGGAAAAAAGCATGTTTTGTTGCAAAGAATGCTTGTGCTTTAGCATTAGTTTATTGCAGCCGCAATGATTTCTTTGTTGGGGGCCATTGCTTTCCCTAATTCCAAAAATCCATCATTAGAGGTTGTTACTGGGTTTTCTTTCTTATAAATAAACTTATTTTAATGCTATATTATCTTGCATGCTAAGTTGATTTCATTAGGGCCCATTAAAAAGGAACATGCATAAAATTATATTTTTCAATTAAAGTATAACCTTCCAATTATTATTAGCAAAAACAATATAAACCTTCTTAATATTTTTTAAGCCAATAATTTTATGCGAAGTTTTTTTTTTTGGGATTTAAATTTTATAAAATCTACACATTCAATCGACTTCTTAAATGAATGAAAAATTAACCATCATATGACTCAATATTGATTGATATTTTTTGGAATATGATGTTTTCAAGTATCAAAGTACATACTGTAGATGGCTGCTGTGCAAAAATTGAGTGTGTGTGTCATTGAAAAAATGAGAAAAGGAAAAAGAAAGGGAGGTGGTGAACACTTGAAGCCCAAACTAGAGGTAGGCCTGTATATATTGTCGAAAGGGTTTCAGAATTGGACTTTCAACCAGCCCTCCGATCCAACAATTATCCAAATGGAGCTGACTCGGCCGACAGCATGGCATGACTATCTTCGCCGATGTCCGATGAAGTGCAAAACGGAGAAACAAAGCCCAAATACAGCGCATTTCCCCTTCTCTTCCCTCCAGGTCTGCCTGATCAAATTAAAAAGGAAAACTAGAGAAAGTTCGCCACTTTTTAATCTCTGTTGCCCTTTCTCTCCAATTTGATCCCTTGGAGTAAGAACCCTACCCCCAAATCCTCCCCGCCCAATCAAAGAAACCCTTTGTTTAGCTTTCTGGAATGGGAGATACCAAAGGAAAAAGAGGCCGAAAACCCAAGAACCCAAAACCCGCCGAAACCCTAGAATCCCCATCCTCCACTCCGCATTAGACGACGTCTTCTCCGTCAGCAATGTCGAATCATCCCCTCCGCTGCCACCGCCACCGCCTCCACCTCTTCCGCCGCCGCAACCACCGCAGCCCGCCCTCGTGGTCGCCCCAGAAAACTCCCCAAACTCCCTGAAAACCCCGAGCTCTACCCTCTCAACCGACGCCCGCAATCCTCTCCCCAGGCCGCCGCGTTCCCAACTGCAACGCCATTGGAGTTGGAGCGGGAGGAGGCGTAGGAGGGGAATTGGGTGGGCATTCCGTTGGGGTTCGGTGGTTAACGGCAATGGATGCAGTAGTGAAAGTGTTTTGCGTTCACACGGAGCCCAATTTCTCGTTGCCGTGGCAGAGAAAAAGGCAGTACAGTTCGAGTAGTAGCGGCTTCGTGATTGGAGGGAGAAGGGTTTTGACGAATGCGCACTCAGTGGAACATTACACCCAGGTTAAAGTTAAGAAACGTGGGTCTGATACTAAGTACTTGGCTACTGTCCTAGCTATTGGAACCGAATGTGATATTGGTATGTTCAGTTCTAACTTAACTTCAAATTTCTAATAAATGCTAGTAATGACAATTGTATTTATAAAGCATTGCATATCGAATAATACCAATGCTTTGGTTGGGCATGTTATAACTCCATTCCATTTCAAACGAAAAAAAAACGTGTTATAACTCATAATGTCAGCGTTAAAAGAAATCGAAATAATCACACTAATCATTTTTGAAACTAATAATCTATTGTAAATGAGAATTATCGTAGTGTAATGATTATAATTATTGCCAACTAGTACAGTAAACTAACGTATCTAAAGTTTTTTCCGTCATGCTAAAGTGAAGTGACTATTATTCTATGGAAAGAAGATTGGTTATTACTTGAAGTGGAGGAAGAGAATAGATGAAAAACTCTTATACAAGGGGAGAACAGGAGGGCAAATTCAGCTCATTCACCGTGTGAACAGATGTTCAAGAGAGAGATGCTTTGATATCGAAGAGTGTGATGTAAAGATAATTGAGTGTTTGGAGGAAATCTGCATGGTTTCAGATGATATGTTTCTTTCTTTTATCTGGTCAAACACATGATTTGGTTTATGTGGTGTTGCAGCAATGCTTACAGTCAACGATGATGAGTTTTGGGAAGGGGCATCACCAGTAGACTTTGGAGAATTGCCTGCACTTCAAGACGCTGTGACTGTTGTTGGTTACCCAATTGGGGGAGATACAATTTCTGTGACGAGTGGAGTTGTATCACGAATAGAAATCCTGTCTTATGTTCACGGGTCCACCGAGCTCCTTGGTTTGCAGGTTACATCATTACTTTTCTAGCATTTCTGTTATATGTGATTGCTAACCCTTGGAAAGTTTTCTTCTGATATCTATTCTTCACGGTTCTTTTGCAGATAGATGCTGCTATAAACTCAGGAAATTCTGGCGGGCCCGCGTTCAATGATAAGGGCAATTGTGTAGGCATTGCATTTCAGTCACTCAAACATGAAGATGTAGAAAATATAGGGTATGTGATACCAACGCCAGTTATAGAGCACTTCATTCAAGACTATGAGAAGAATGAAGCGTATACCGGTAATTTAGTTTGGGTCTTTTAAGTTGCACTTTTGATCAATTCACTGTTAAATTCATGACTGTGTGATGAACGTGCCATATTCTGTGTTTATCATCCTGCTTAAAGTCTCATGATCACTCCTTTTATGCTAGGATTCCCAATTTTGGGGGTTGAGTGGCAGAAAATGGAAAATCCTGATTTGCGTGCGGCAATGGGCATGAAAATTGACCAGAAAGGTGTGCGAATCAGAAGAGTTGACCCAACAGCTCCAGAATCTGGGGTTTTGAAGTCATCAGATATTATTCTCGGCTTTGATGGGGTTGATATTGCCAATGATGGAACAGGTAAGGTGTTCTTTATCCGTGAGTCGATAAACACCCACCCACACACACACACACATAGAGACAGAGAGACAGAGACATGTATGTATAGATACACGCATACACTTTGCCATGCACTTTCTGCTTGACATTTTTATGAGCAAACTTCTTACATTGTTTATTATAAGCACAAATATTTGTTATCATAAGAGTGAAAGAATGAACTGTTATTATTACTTTGAACTAATCAAGTGTGTATATGTTCCCTTGAAGGTACTTTATCTAGTAAGTTTATCATTTCTGTAAAATTGGTGTTTCTATGGCTTTATTTGTTTATAAGTTCACAATTTGAACCAAAAAAGTGTGAAGGTTGCATTGAATGGACAATTTTTCTGAGGCCTTTAGCTAGTCTTTTACAGATGACTTCCTGGATTAGTCAATTATGATTAACAGCTGCTATCTCAACAACTATGCACTTCATTAGATGTGTCTTGTTAGTCATGCAAGAAATGTTAGTTTGGGCAGCACTCTTAACTTGAATAGAGCTAAAATCCCTGGCAAGAATCTTTTGAGCAAAACTGACAATTTGAAGTCTTTTCTTTTTCTTGTCCATTTAATCCTTACTGCACATTTTTCTGATGTTGCACTTGTCTTCCCATTATTGATGTTTTCTCAGTTCCTTTTCGGCATGGAGAGCGGATAGGTTTTAGTTACCTTGTGTCACAAAAATATGCTGGGGATAGTTCAGCAATTAAAGTTCTTCGCAATTCTGAGATTCTATCTTACAACATTAAACTTGCATCGCACAGAAGGCTTATTCCGGCACACAACAAGGGCAGGCCTCCTTCATATTATATAATTGCAGGATTTGTGTTTACAACTGTGTCTGTTCCATATTTACGTTCAGAGGTATATTGTTTACTCCAAATCTAGTGCTTCCATCAATGCATGCATGTGAAAATTAGAACATAAAGCCTGCTGAGATACATGTTTTGCTGTCTTAGATGCTGTAAAGTGGAAGATGGATACTTTGTGCATGCTCAAAAGCAAATCATGTTAATTTATTGTTATTTTTGGTATTGTGCTATTTATAGCTTACATATACTAATAGTTCTGTAGAAGGTAGCTTTGTCTACATTTTCTTTATGCTCCTATAGACAGATCTCCTCCCCACCCCCAATCTTTGTTTCCTCCTGGTCTTGTAGCGTCTGTCCTCTTCTATGTTTTATTGCTCTTTTCATTGGATGTTTGCTAGTCTTCAGTTGCGTTATTATTTTAATTATGAACAAATGAGATTGTTTTATTTATACTTCTGTTTCCATCTATTTGCAAGGTTCTTGTAGCATGTTGATGTATTGTATGATCTTTCTCAAATCTTCTTCAGCTTCATCTTTTCTCTGGAGAAGATGCCAACTGTTTTACCCTTTCACCACCTGGCTATATGGTGGAGAAATAAATAATAAACTTGATTGTGGCCTTCATTACAACGTTTGATTTTTCAAATTTTAGCAAAAAATTAGCAATTTTTTGGTTTGGTTGTGTTTCTAAATAATCTCAGCTGTCTTTGCTTATTTGTCCAGTATGGGAAGGATTATGAATATGAAGCTCCAGTAAAGCTTTTGGACAAACTCTTGCATTCAATGCCACAATCACCTGATGAACAGCTTGTCGTGGTGTCTCAGGTTCTCTCTCTCTCTGTTTCTGTGTGTTTGTGCATGCACGTGTTAAAGCCTACCTATGGCAGTGGGCATATTCTGTTAATCAGTTCTTCTAACATATTTGCTTAAAAAATTTGTTGAAGGTTCTTGTGGCTGATACCAACATTGGATATGAGGACATTGTCAACACTCAGGTTAGGATCATCAGTCTGTTGCTATTTCACTTGATTTCAGTTCAATTTCTTTTGTGTCTATTGTGAATTCCTTCCTTTGTACCTATGCAGGTCCTTGCATTTAATGGTAAGCCTGTGAAGAATTTGAAGAGCTTGGCTGAGATGGTAGAGAACTGTGAGGATGAATTTTTGAAATTTGATTTAGAATATGAACAGGTATACCCTCTCTCTCTCTCTCTCTCTCCCTCCCTCCCCCCCCTTACAGGTACACTCTAACACATGCTCTTGTTGCACTACTCTTACATTTTTGTGTGTGATATTATGCAGATGGTAGTACTTAGGACAAAGACAGCAAAAGCGGCTACTCCAGACATTCTTGCAATGCACTGCATACCGTCAGCAATGTCTGAGGATCTCAAGGCTGAAAATGATGGCCCTAACTTATTGATTTTGTTGTAGCTTTTCTAAGGCTACTGCCATAGCTAGGAAGAAAGGTTATATTCTGCAGGATGGTTCTTGTTAGCATGTTAATAGCTTCTTGGTTGGTATAATCCCAGTGCCTGCCAATTATGAAAGCATGATGTCCAATGGCCAAAACAGAAGAAAAAAAAATAGCCAATGATGGCCCACTTAGCCATGATTGAAGGTTTCCCCATCCAGTGGCCATTATCAGAAATTTTCTTTTTATCTTTCTTTCTAAGAATTTTGTAGAGATATGTGAAGCAATTGTTTCCGGTGATAGCTACTGGAATGTACATTTTTGAGAAATGGAAGCCTAGTTTTCAAGATCTATTTATCACTGTACTAGAATGACCATTAATACATTCAAATATATCTTCAATTGTCCAAAGGACATCATTTACATATATTTACTTCAACCTCTCCCCAAGTCTTAAGACAAAAAAATTCTTACTACTGCAATTTTTGGTGGAAAGGAAGGTCTAAAAGTCCACCTGTGTAGAGATCAGCTCATTTGCTCTAAGAAGTGGGGGCAAGACAAGCATTTATGCATCTAAATGTCCATCTAAGAGAGGGGTTTTTGATGATGATGAATGTAGCTTATGAATGTTGGTGACTTCATCCTTCTCTTCTTGGGACTGCGCCCATATCACCCCATAAAAGCCAGTAACAATTATGGCTGCTCCAACAATACTGCAAAGGAGTATTCAATCAATAAGCTCGTTGAACAGCATGGGTTTAAACGAGTTTGAGCACAAGTCTTCATTTTCAAGCTCAGATAATAAGTAAATGGAGCATGAACGTAAGTGAGCTCGACTCATTTAGCTCATGAACAGCTTTTTTTATCATTCAACTTGCAAAAACTTAGAAAATCAAAAATGGTATATGGAGATTGTTACCTTCCAACATAAAGCGTTTCACCGAGGAAAATGAACCCCAAGAAGGCAGCAATAGCTATGCTTAAGGGCTTGAACATGGCCACAAAGACGGGCCCTTTCCGTCGTATGCACCATGCTAACACGGCAAATGTTACCACACTTCCAAAAAGAGCCTGAAAAGGAATTGAATTTAGCAGTGAGTAATCCGTTAAAACTAAAAAATACTATTAGCCCGACTTGACTGATCTCTTCATACTGCGTTATACTTACTGAATAGACCACAGAGACGAGTTCAATATCAGGACTCAATTTCCAAGCATTTGTGTTTCTTTCAGCAATCAAAGCAACCAATGCGCATTGAATGGTCCCAAAGAGGCAGTAGAAGGACACCAGCACTATCTCTGAGGGATACCCCTTCAGGATTGCCGCCTTCAAATACAGTTGGAAAAGGGACATGAGTTTCAAACTCTCACAAAGATCCAACCCCAAAGCTACTGGATCATTGGAAAAGCATATTTCTCACCTGACCAATGATGTTTGTTGAAAGAGACAAGCAGGCAGTGGCAATGAAGAGGCCACCTATGATCCAATTGTTTGTTGTTGTTAACATGGCAGAGGGATCAGATTGTGGTTGAGCTGGTGGGGAAAGAATTGCAGAACCCTTGTAAAGGGTCATGATCAGTGCTCCAGAAATGGATACCAAGGTGCCCAAGATCTTGATCTGACTCCTTGAGCTTGTCAACTCTAGCTTTTCCATCCTAGAAGGTCAAAAAACATTATTGGAACCTTCAATTCAACAAAAAACAGCTGCTTGGAATCAGTGTATCTTTAAAGATTTCTCAAAGTCTAACTATGATCGGAGGATCCAATTAGAGAAAAGCAAAGGATTAGAGAGCAATTATTCCCCGTCTCCTTCTCAGGTTCTAAGAGGAGGAAAAGAGAGGAACCTGAAGATAACAGCAAGCACGAAAGTGAAAGCTGGGACCAAGTTGCCAAGAGCAGAAGCAAGAGTCGGAGAGCTGTAGCTTACACCAGTGAATACGCAGTTCTGCATCAAAGTAATCCTGCAAAACCCAGATTCATAACCCAATTCTTCCACCAAAAAAGGAAGCAAACCCACTTTTTAAGATCAAAGAATATCTCTGTTAAGATTTAATTGCATACCCAGCAATGCTTAAGAGGAAAAACTTGCACAGCAAAGGTAAGGTAATTGGTGGCCTCTTTTTCCTGCATAAAAAGGGCCGAAAAACCAAGTCCCAAAACATAAATTGATACTAAAATTGCTCAATAATTACTCATAACATGGATCTACTCAATAGATGGTGAAAGAGAGAACCTAGTGAAGAAGAAAGCAGCAGGAATCAGAATGACAGAAGCCAAAGCATTTGAGTAGAAAACAAAGACAAAGTGGCTCATCCCTTTGGACATGGCAGCTTTGCTGAGGGTAGTTAAGCCAACATCCAGGCATTCCACAGCCACCATGGCTGCAAATGGCGCCAATTCGACTAACCAGGACCTTACTCTCATCTCTCTAACTCTCATCTTCCTCTCTCTCTCCAGATTGCTGGGAACTGAGCGACTTAAGTTGCAGTCACAGATCATTATTTTTTATTTTTGGTTGATGTTGACATTGGCAGTGGGACAAGTTTGATAAGGCAACTCGACTAGAAACAGTACAATTGATCACGTGTTGCATCATCTTCCACACCAAAACGTAAAGAAAAGATTAACTCAGCTTTGATTTAAGACAAAAAAATGATATTAATGGGCTCAAATACACATATTATGTTATATATTAATAATATAAATATGTATAAATTATATTTTTAAATGAGAGACTATCATATTATATAATCATTTCTAACACTGAAAGATAAATGAAGCTCAATCCCAAAAAGGGGTTGGATTCTTTTCTATGATTAATAATTTGATTTCATATTAAAAAGTGGTGAATCAGAAAACAATAAAGAGGATCTTGACCTGAAAAAAGAACAAAAAGAGATGAGTGAATTTTGTGAGACATTTAATAGGAAAGCTGGAGGAAGTAAAATGGAAATGAAAGAGGGAGGAAAAGCAATTGCCATTACCCGTTACCCATTGACCTCCACCAAGTAGTAGTATTTGATAATTTTCCCAAAGATTAAAGAAAAAACCCTTCAAAATGAAAGTTTGGACACTTCATAAATGTCAAATTATAATGTAGAAAATGAATTTTCTTTTTTTTTTTTAACTTACAGAAAGGAAGATTAAGGTAGGTGGGATTTAAACTTTAAAGCTTAATCTCCATGCTTTAGAAAGATAAATGATAACCCCAACCAAAAATAATATATATATATATATATATAAGATTTTAAAAAATTAAATAAACTCTTACTTTTTTATTATGTTTAATCAAATTTTTATATTTTTAATTTTTAAATAAATAAATTTTTATAATTAATGATTAATTTAATAAAAAATATTATATATTATTTTAAATCACGTGATGCTGATATGTTACAATTAATGATGATGCGGTATACTGATTTATCATAATAACGTGGACATGCGCACTTTTCACTTTCTATACTAATATCATGTCACAACCATATAGATATAAAATGACAAATAATATTTTAATTAAGAATAATTAATCAACTATTAGTCATAATAATAAAAAAAATAAAGATTTATTTAAATTTTTTTAATAATTTAAAGACTTTTTCCTATATATATATAATATGAGGAGAATTATATTACAAATAACAAAAACAAAATGTAATAAAGAGGATCTCATTCTCATTACCAAGAGATAAAGTAAATTTGTGTGACACGAGGAAGAAAATAGGAGGTAGTAAAATGGAAATAAGACTTGATGAAGGAAAAATTATAATATGGAGGAAAAGTAATTGTCATTATTCATTGACCACGACTCCAACGCCAAATAGTAAGGTACTAGGATTTTATATTTTCCGAATATTTCAAATTAATTTTAATTTGAAAAATGAGACAATTAAATGTTAATTTACATACAAACAAGTATGAAATTGAAGGAGAGATTTAAATCTTAAACCTTAATAAAAAAACCAATTAATTATAATTTGTTCTTCTTTAATTACAAATAATAATTTATAAAAAAAAGATTAGATGAATTATTGTTTAGAAAATTGAACCAAGTTGGGTGTAAAATTCCCAATCATTTCTCCCACCGCGTTTACAACTTCCTTTTTCCACATATTGTTTTTTCTTTCTTTTACCAACATCACAATGTAATATATATTAATTAAAATAATATTGTTTCTTGACTTGTTTCCTTTCCTTCCTCTTGCATGTGAATTTCCCTTTAGGTACTGAGAAGAAGTTGTTGTGCATTATCACTGCTATAAATAATAGTATGTGCCAATTAATAATTACAATACCCAAATCAAGGAAGGCTTTGCATTGAAAATGAGCTAAGAAGATGAAGGAGGAGGCAGCTTAGAAGGGCTCAGGCAAGTTAGACAAAAATTTGAAGCCACATACATACATAAACTATAGGCTCTTTTTCTTTAACTTGTCTTTGCCCTTCTTAGCTACTTCTTCCTCAAATATCACATGAGTTTACATACATATTTGCTTGCTGATGAAGGCAAAAGGATTAAGGTTTATCTTCTCATCACAATTTTTTTTTCTCGTAATTGTATAATTCGTTATTTTTTTTATTTCGTTTAAAGTAAAATTTAAAACATAATTATAACTATGAATGCTAGCATCGCTTGTTCTAGCATACAAACATAATTTTGGCAACACATCAAATGTCAAAGTATACAAAGATTAGCAATTAGGTGTGATTTTATGTTTTTTTGAGGATGAGGTTTTAAGATAATCGTAAAATTATCTGATTTAGTTAATTTGTTTTAAAAGCAGACAAATAATAATTCAATTGGTTAATTTTTTCACTATTGGTTTTTTTTTTCCTTCCATTTTTGCCTTTTGCATGTAACACACACACACACACACACACACATATATATATATATATATATAAAAATCTGGTACAAAGTAGCAATCAAAGCAAAATCTTAATTTTTTGTCCTTATGTTCTAAATCTATAGCAAAACAAATATAAATACGGGAAGGTGTAATCTAAACTTTGATTATTATATGTAAAATGAGCATTCAACCTATATGAATGTATCAATTTTGAAAACCCTTTAAGGATTTTTATTTTAAATAGGATCTCGGTTGTATTTTTTACAAGAGAAAGTCTAAACTTAACCAAAAAAAAATAGATTCATTAATTGCAACTGAATAACTAAAATACTTATAATTGCTCTTTTGGCATATATAATACATGTTGAGATTCTATATAAGTATTTGACTCCATAATAATATTATATATATATCATTTATTCAAAAAATCAAATTTCAATCTCTTTTCTCTTAATAAAAAAATTTTGGAACCTCTGTAACAATAAAAGGAAAAGTTGTTTCTTATTTACAA